TACTAGCGTCACGTGACTTCCGCTGTCGTAATAATAGTTTGAGCAGTATATGCTCATTACAGGGTATTTTTTATTCTAATCTCTTTAAGTAACTTACTTTCATCAGAAGTAATATTAATCCTAATATGCAAATAAACAACAATAAACTTTAAATTCCATAATTAGTTATAAGGTAACTCTTTACAATTAACAACATTAATATTTTTACATCTATTATTACAATTATTTTATCAAAAGTACAATTTACAAAACACAAAGTACAATCTTCATTTTGATCAACAAGGCAGTATTTATTTATTTATTGATTTATAGTGTCTGTGTTGTCCCGTTATCAAATATTTTTGCCGTTTTCTGATTCGATGGCTTATAGCACAAAAATTAGGTGATCTCTTGTTCTTTACCATCATTTGGTGTCTTGTCACTGGATGAACCCTCTCCAGGTAGAAGGAATCCGCTAGTGAATTCATCCTTAATGATACTCTGAAAGTGGTCTCGACAGAAATCTCAGTCTCTCCAGCAGCTTGACTTATTTCTGGTGAAGTTAAGCTATTGGGTATTCTCCCACTGACATCCTTCCAAAGACGATAACAAGTTACAACCATTGTTTTGACCACCAAGGCTGACTATCTTCATTACTTTGTGTATCCGTTTTTGTTGTTACTTGAAGTCCAACCTCTAGTAGTATATTCATCGTATAATGTAAGAGGATTTCCTGGTCATAAACTGTGAAACCTTTGGAAGCTAGTCTAACCTCACATCTGTGTTTCTACATGAGGTTAGCTCCCAGTGACGGACTGGCTGAGGAAAGCAGCCAAGAAAACTATTCGTAGCAGCCCACCCTACCAGCCTACTCTCAATTGAACAATTATGCTGGAAAAAATGAAATGTATTTCATACTATTTAATGTATATTTTAATGTTACAGTAATGTGGTTTTCATAATCTATTTATAATTAGAACATCGTTATTCAGAATTGTCGTTATTAACCCAAGACAAGTACAAAGGGTCCATAATTACATTTGTACACTCTTCCTATATTGTGATACACAAACATGCAATCATACTATAGAATTATTTCAGTAAAGCACCAAACAACAAATACAACTATTTTTTTAACAAAATAATAATCATAGGTTTTAAGAAAGAAAAAGTGGTTTTAGATATTTGCATAACATCCTGTTTCCAGCTTTTCAGTTTCTGTTTCAATTAGTGTCTGTTCAGGCAGGGTTTTCTTAAATTTTGACCAATTTTTTTTTTTTTGCAAAAGATAGCAGTTCTTCTCTTAGACATTCAACATCAGTATTTAGACAGTTCTACTTCAGTAAGGTAGACACCTTTCTAGTGCAGAAGTTGGGAATTTGCTTGGTTCAGTTATTTCATGAAAATTGTGTGGATCAAAACAGGCAATGTCTGCATAGAACACTATGTTTTCCAAATCTCCTGTCAACACTATGTACAGTTGTATCCATTACTGAATTGAACATTTCAATCCTAAACTTTTCCAGCGCATCAATTGGTGCCTCATCAGCTGCTTCTTCACTTAGCATCTTTTTTCTTCATCTGGGGATGGACAACAGGGAGTGAATTTTCAATGAAAACATCACAATCTGCCAATTCAAGTTTTTCATTTTGAGATTTAACATATTTATCTGCATTGGCTTTAATAGACTCAAAATCGCGGCTAAATGGCTTGAGAGAATCCATAGTAGTTTAAATCATTCACTGAGTCTGTATGAAATCCAGGCCAGATGTCTGCAGGTATTCAGAAAGTGGTGTAGTCTCTTGAAACATTTTTCAAGTAAATGTGAGCAACTAAAATTGTTTCATACTGTGTAAGGCGCTGAGTAGTGACTGAGCATCAAACTTAGTATTTGCTTTTATTTCAGCTGAATCTGCAATGATATCCAAAACTTCAACGAGATAAGATAGCAATGCTTTTGATGAATTTCCGAAGCTTCCAAATAGAGTTTTCAAAGCTTTATCTTTAGATAACCAACGAGTAGCTCCTATGGCCTGTAGGCGTTTCAGCTTTTGTGATCATTTAGCTTCGCTCGGCCTCTCTTTCCAGCAATTCATCCTCAAATAGAAATCAAGAAAAAACAAAACAAAACCGTAGAACATGAGTTGAGTTGGCCTGAAAGAGGTAAAGAAGCTAAATTCGAGGATGTAGCATCAATGAGTACCAGATTTAGTATATCTGCACTGTGCATAGCACCAAACATGAAAGTGATTGGGTGATGCTTGTTTAATCCATGCAGTGAGACCTTTATAC